TGGTAACGCCACTGAAATGCCACTGGAACGCCACCTCTGGAATGCTATGGACATAACGCCGTTACAAAGTTGGCTCTCTGTGCCGCACCAGGAAATTTTTCTCCCCGGAATCGATACTTCAAATATACAATTCAACCATTCTCCCTTGCATGGAGTATTGCTGCCATATATCGTCTGGTGCACCTTCTGTTTACCTCGGAGTTCTTGACAAGATCCAGAGGCGGATATGTAATATAATTGGCCCTGATCTGGCATCTCGTCTACAGTTGCTCTCTCACAGACTCTGTCTTTTTTTACAAATACTTTCATGGTAATTGCTCCGATGAGCTGCTTTCACTGGTTCCCAGACTTCATGAGTTCAAGCGCCCTACGAGACTGGCATCCCGCTCTCACCCTTACACTGTAGAAACTATTAAATGTAGCCGTCTCTTCTACTCCAATAGCTTCATGTCTCGCACCTCTCGCCCGTGGAACACCCTTCCCTATTACTGTTTCCCTGAAAGCTATAATCTCCAACTATTCAAATGTAATGTCAATCGACATCTCCAGTTACCTTGATCTATCCACTATATTACTCCTATCTGCTCTCGCTCCAAATCTTCTGCAACCCCCTGCATCCTAGTGGCTTCCCGCCTTGCTCGGGGCGTAATGTTTAAAAAAACAAAAAAACTTTTCTCATAATTTCCTCTTACGATTCAAATCGCTTCCCTTTCAGCGTGGTTTTAAAATTGGGGAAGAGCCAGAAATTACATGGTGCTAAGTCGGGAGAATAAGGAGCCTGTCGAACAAGTGTGGTGTTCGTGACTAGGAAATCATCTATTATGTGGACGGAATGAGCGGGCGCATTGTGATGAAGTTACCAATTCTTCGCCGCCCACATGTTCTTGAACGTTTCCTGATGCAGGATGAGTTTTGGGTTCGTCACTTTGAGCCAGAGACAAAGAGAAAAATCCATGGAGTGGAAACATCACCCTCCTCACCTGGTCCAAAGAAGGTCAAGGTCGTTTCATCCGCAGAGAAGTTGATGACTTCAGTTTTTGGGGGATGCAAAAGGCATTGTTTTTATTGACTATCTTCAAAAGGGCCACACCATCAATAGAGAGTACTATGCCAACTTTCTGAGGCAGCTACGAAAGGCTATCAAGACCAAACGCCCATGAAAACTGACGAAAGGGATTTTGTTTAATCGGGACAATGGACCAGCACACAAATACTTGGTTTCAATAGTTGCCGTACGTGACTGTGGCTTTTAGATGATTGATCACCCTTCCTATTCTCCTGATCTGGCTCCATCTGACTATCATCTGTTCCCCAAAATGGCAAAAACACTTGTCTGGGAACTAGTATCGTAGTAATGATGACGTCATATCTGCTGTTGATGACTTTTTTAACCAACAGGATGGAGGCTTAAAAAGAATAAAAACTTGTAATTCCAACGAATAACTTCAGAGTCTGTCTATATTTCTGAGATGAGGTATTATGTACAGTATTTACATTAGTCGGACTATTGTCCTCAACTTTGTCGCCATATTTGTCACAACGTTTCGGCCGTTGTACGCTCCGGCCTTCTTCAGGTGGTTGGAATTTCGAACTGAACCCTTTATTTCGATCACTAGGGTAGACTGTTCTAGTTCCACGTGCCATGTTTGATGGATGTCAGTTATCGGTTATCTCCTGTTAATTTTCCCTCTGAAAGTTCTCCGCTGCCTTAACCAGGAATTGAATTCACCTTCTTTGGGTCTGTCACTGGATCTAACCAACGCCTTTATCCACTGTGCCATGTGTCCTTGAGGACAACGGCCGAAACGTTGTGACAAATATGGCGACAAAGATGAGGACAATAGTCCGACTAATGTAAATACTGAACGAATAACTTATTGTTAAAACAGATATATTTCAGAAAGCTTTTGCAATCCTTGATCACTTTCGAGAAATAAATGAAACAGTGACTAAGCTATATTGTATACGTTATAAATTCAAATTAACAAAAAAAAAAATAAAAATAATTCTATCGAATTGGGTTCGCGTGACATGCGTAAACTGAAAGCGTGAGAATTGCTTAAAGAAAGAAAGAAATGTCATATCCAAACCAAAGTAAAAAAAAAAATACTCCTATTTTTTTCGTATTTTCCGTTGAAGTAGGGAAGTCAATGCTGGGTGAAGGTGTGCTGCATCAATTTTATTACAGACATTTTCAGTACTTGCTATTATCATTTCTTCAGCTACCCGTCTTTGGTTTAATTTGTGTTGGTTGGTCAATTTTATTTCAGGTTGGTCGAAGTCTATTTCGTGGCCTTCTTTGATTGCGTGAAGTGCAATTGCTGATGACTTCTCTAGGTTTTTTTTTCGGTCGGTTTCATTTTTATTAACTTAGTACAAAGACGCCGATGTCCGTCTATTCTTTCTGGAGGTCATGCCAATGTAATTTGTTGGGCAATCTTTGCAATTGACTTTATAAATTAAATTGCCATTAGCCGTTCGTCTTTTAATCTTATGAGCTGTCGTCTAATTGTGTTTAATGACGAGAATACCACTCTTATGTCGAGGGCCTTCATAATTCTTTTTATTGCTTCTGATGCTTCTATGGTATATTGACGGTCACTTTTTTTTATCCAGCATCATTATGCGTGGTATTGTCAACGTTCTCTAACTTGGTGTAGTAATCGTTTAGGGAAGCCATTCTTTTTAAGCGTGCCAATGATTCTTTCTTGTTCTAATTTTGCATACGATGGATCAGAGCAAATACTTTCTGCCCGCTTGAAAAATCCAATGGTAATTCCTTTTTTAATACTCAGGCTGTGACAAGAATGGAAATCCAGATATTGATCTGTAGCCATTGGTTTTCTGTACATCGTCCCTTTTCATTTCTTGTTACCAAGCAATCACAAAGTGATATACTCTTATTCTTTTCTAGTTCCATTGTAATGTTGATATTTTCTTCTTGGTTATTAAGGAATTGTGAAAACAGATGCACGTATTGTCGTTTCATTATGACAAAAGTGTCGTCTACGTATCTCCACTAAGTTTTTATTGTTTTTTTTTTAAATTATGTAATGCTTTTATTTCGAAGTCTTCCATGAACAGATTCGCTAGAATGGGGGAAATCGGTGAACCCATAGGCAGTCCTATCGTCTGTCTGTACAAGACATTGTTGAAAGTGAAATAAGTGTTATCGCGACAGAGAATGATCAGCTTAACAATATCCGTTGCAGATAAGCTTTCGTCATTAGATAATTTGTTTAGCAACATTGCTGGTGCGGCTTCTCTTGAGACATTGGTGAAAAGAGAGATGACATCAAAACTAATCAATATCTCATCGTCCTCAATACGAAGACCCTTTAATTGCATGACAAAATCCTTTGTATTTTATATATGATGAGTTGCCTGGCCGCGAAGAGGCTTTAGTAGGTTCGATACAATTGTGCCAACTTATATTTGCGTTAATAATCTCTCTCTCTCTATATATATATTTCTATATATATATATATAGAGAGAGAGGCAATGGAGTAAGGATATATATATATATATATATATATATATATATATATATATATATATATATATATATATATTTTTGGTTGGATAGATGTGAGTTTGTGACCCTGGGTTTCACGCTTTAGCGATCGTCAGACAAATGTTAGCTCTATCTCTGATATTGAGCGCTTTCTAATAAGTACCGCGCATATAATATATAAATAATTATACATATATATATTTATTTATATTTATATACACTTTTCACACATATATATATGAACACTTTTCCCTGGAGAAAGAGATACAGGTTCGATTCCTGTTGGGAGGCATCATTATTCTTTAGAAGAACTTCTAGTTGTAGGCCGGTGGCTGTCAAATTTCACAGCTTAAGGAAATAAAAATTAAAATAAGAATGATAGCAATTCAAACACGTTAACCACTAAAAATAACTTTTATCGTAGTGAGAAATATATATATATATATATATATATATATATATATATATATATATATATATATATATATATATATATATATATATATATATATATATATATATATATATATAGACAAAAAACACATATGTGTATTGTAGGTGGCAAATAATTACCTTTATTCTGGAGAAGATTTGGGATTCATTCAGCAGTCGAAGGAGTGACGACTGGTTTTCGTTTAATCACGTTGATGTACGATTTTCCTTTAGTAGCGTATCATTTTACTTTTGTTAGTTGGTAAATTTTCAGTTTCTTTCAAGGAGTCTTGTTACTGGAGTCAGGAAAAGAGACGTCGCTTTTTTATGTGAAGCACGAAGGAATATGGACGCAGAATATCGTTAAAAGAAACGCGAGTGAATGAAGGGAAATCCTTAAAATTGAAGTGCTTCCCCAGGTTCGTTTTGAAACAGCGAAAAATGATGTTCGACTTGCACAGTGTTGTATTTTAAAGAAGAAATCAAGCATAATGAACGCTGCTCCTGAAAATTCGGGTTGTACCTTTTTTTATCTTAGTAAAATATATCCGTTCCAATTTACTAAGCATGGCTTAGTTTTGGCACAAAGCCGTAAGTATGGAGCACCCAGTGACACAAAAATATCTGTTGGTTTATCGCTGGGAAAAGTCTGATTGTCACAAGTCGTTTGTTTTCGTAACAGAAGAGAAGAGTGTTTTTTTTTCCATTTGAGTAACGAGTCGGCTGGGGCGTTAAGCATCACAGCAAGGGCTAGGTCTGAGGTAGGACATCACAAAGCATTTTGGTTTTGGAGAAGGTAGGGTATATGTGTTTCTGTGTGTTTCATTTTCGACCGTCACAGTTTTGCCACAGAAACGAGGCCATTTTTCGCAAGTGTTTGAGAATCTACCGTCGAAGAGTAGACATGAACGAGATTACTCGCAGAGTAATTGAACAATGGACCAAGGTAAAGGGTTTCAAAAAAAAAAAAAAGAATAAATAGAGAAAATATACTCTCGGGTTGGAAAATTAAATTTGGTAGGCAGGTAAAGACTGGGGTGTAACTGATGGGGATTCATTTATTATTGGTCGTCGGCGTCTGTTTTGTTGCTCTGCTCTGTCGGCACTTATAAGCAATAAGCAGTCCAATCAAAACGATGACTGTAATTCCTGCCCAGCAAAAGCAACCGAGGATCTGGAAAGCGGCTAGGCAGTAGACGGTTTTAGAACACCAGTTATTTGGATCGTGAAGCTGTTGTTCAAAATTGGGCTTCCAGATGTCGAACACCCAGTAGGTGCCGGTACAGAGCCAGGAGACGAGAAAAATAATGAGGAGGCTGTCCATTAGACGGTAGGAACGGGAGGTGAAGGCGAGTCGATCAGCCGGGTCCAGGCCGACCAGGTCCGGTAGACTATCATAACGCCGCTGTTGAATCTGATACCACACTGTGTAGATAAGCTTCAGCATACCAAAGCATCCACCAACCAGAAGGTAAACAGGTATTTTGGGTTGTTTCGGACAATCATGAAGATATTTGACACCTACAAAAAGAGAGAAAAAAAACAGGATTTAATAAAGAGATTAAGAAATCCCCAAGCTTCTTAGAATCACTAAATAATGAAATGCAGAGCTTCGTTAGTAATGGTACAGTGGTTTAGGTAGCAAGTATTCTTTTACACGGTGGAGTTGCCATTGTCACACTGAGTCAACTTTGTCCTTCTCCTAGACTGTTTTTCAGCCGAGTCTAGAAATTTCAGTCTAATTTGTATGGATTTAATTTATTACTGGATGGGATTGGGATCGGAGAATGAATTAAGTCATAGCGGTTGTTTGTTCGAAATTGAACGCAACAATTAGGCCTGAAATTTGAAATCGGAATGTCTATTCCGATTACTGACGACGCTAAGTGCACGTCCATATACTGAGCGGGGCAAAAGCCGTGCACCAGAGGAATAATTTATTAAAAGTATAATTACGTATGAAAATTTTATTTACTAGTTAGTTAATTGTTATCAGCGCTGTTCAAAAAATGTCTTCCTTTTTCAGAACACAATTCAATTCTGTGCTTGCCTGATTTATTAACACGTCGGAGAGTTTTCTGCCATTTTGTTGCATCCATATTTAAGTCTTTCAATTAAGTTCCTCAATATGTCTTGGACGGGTCTAATAAACAACTGAATTGAAATGGCCTCACAGAATAAAATCCAAGGGTGTGAAGTCTTAGTGAGCTCGTTGAGGGCCCCTTCGACCTATCAATTAAACCCTATGGTGCACCACTCATCGTGTATTAAAAAAATAAATAAATTGGACATTTTCTATATGAATAATAATAGTTATAAATATATATGAAAAAGGCTCGATGCATTTTCTATGCCTTAATGCGCGTCTAAAATAAAGAACACCAGAAGTTTGAAACTGAAATGAAGAACCCCTACGCAAAATTGAGTAGCCGAAGAAAAATAGTCGTGGTTTCCGATATTGCAGCACGCACACACACACACACACACACACACACACACACACACACACATATATATATATATATATATATATATATATATATATATATAATATCGAGAAATGGTATTTTGGAAATGTAGTTAGCAAAAAGAGATATGCGTTTCTTAAGTAGGTAATTAAAACATTGCTCTCTCTCTCCCTCTCACTATATGTGTGCGTGTGTGTGTATAATATTGAGACATGTTATTTTTGAAATCAAGCTAGCAGGCATAGATCAAAAAGAGATGTGCGTTCCTTAAGTAGGTAATTAAAACCTGGCTCTCTCTCTCTCCCTCCATCTCCCTCTGTGTATATATATATATATATATATATATATATATATATAAATGTCATTTTGAAAATTAAGCTAGCAGGTTTCAATCAAATAGAGATGTGCGTTAGTTAGGCAGGTAATTAAAACCTTGCTTGTTCTCTCTCTCCTCCCTCTATCTCTGTATATTTATTAATATATATATGTATATATATATGTGTGTGTTTGTGTGTGTATATATATATATATATATATATATATATATATAACCTTTTAAAACAAAAATCCGAACTGTTAATTAACCCCAACCGATATATTTACATTCTTCTTCTTCTTCTTCTTCTTCCTCGTCCCCCTCCTCCTCCTCCTCCTTCTCCTTCTTCTTCTTCTTCTTCTTCTTCTTCTTCTTCTTCTTCTTCTTCTTCCACCTAACGTCGTTCGTTTGTTTATTTATTTTTGAAAATAGTAATAAAGCGTTCATTAGTTTTTTTATTGTATTTTTTTTTTTAATAAAGCGTTAAAAAGTCTTTTCATAAAAATCGCCTGAGGATACCGTAAGGCTGAAACCAGGGTAGCGGATTCAACGGACCTGACTTTTAAAAATCTATCTATCTATCTATCTATCTATCTATCTATCTATTCATAAATATAGATATTAGACACTTCGACATAATGCCATGGTTAGTAAGTTTGCTTCTCTAGATCAATTATGAAAGAGCAGTAAGCTCGATCCAGACTGGATGCTTGCGACCTTGTGTCACATCTAAGCTACGCTTAGTAAAGCCCTGTTGGGCACTTCGACATACTGTAATGGTTAGCAAGCTTGTCTCGCTAGATCAATTACGATTAAATAATGACTTCGATAATTGGTGCTCTATAATTTCGACCTTGTGTCACATTATTAAATCGTTATATGTGCATAATTTTTTTTATAATCTTGGTATATATGAATCTTTAAAAAACGAACTGATAAGAGGGCAATGTGTCTGTTGGTTTATTAAATAAAAAAAAGCATCTCACTGCTACTTTGATGTCGCTACCTGCCACTTTTGTTGTACTGAAGGTGAACATGTTTAAATGATCGGTATTTGAGTGACATTGTGAGTAGACTCAATATGAAGAGTCAATACGAATTCATTATGAGCGACACTGTGGAAGGCAGGATTTATAGTTCAACTATATATATATATATATATATATATATATATATATATATATATAATTATTTATTTAAATATATGATTCCAACTCGCGACATAAGAGGTCCCATGTTTCAAAACAAGAGCCGAAAACTTCAATATAATTATTTGAATTAAATTGAGTTAAAGAAAGCTCTGTTCCATCGAGCACTATTTTTAAAAAATAATAACTAAAATACTAAGGAACTTTGGATCTACCTAACCAGCTCTTTCCTATTTTCTATATATTTTCACAAATATATTGGCTCCCTAATTGAGGTCGAGCACTCTGTGCCTTTATTTTTAAATACTCCTTTAAAAATATGGAAAAAAGTTACTTTCGGGATTTCTCTGAAAAACATTCCACAAACAAACAAACGGAATTATTTTGTCAAACTTTTACAAAAAACAGAGGAATTAATTAGAAGAATGAGATGGAAGTCATACTTCGACTTTCGTGGGAATAACTCAACCGATAAAGAACGCGAAGTTTACGGCTTTAAAAGTAAAAAAGTTGCACCATTCAACAAACAGCTAGACGAATTTGAAAAAGACCTACTCAATATTATCAATAACATCTCCTTTCAAAATAAGAAAAGCCACTTCCAAAAACATCTAGACCAAATAGTTAAAAGCATAAATGATTGTGACAAAATATTAGTTAAGTCTGACAAAACCGGCAACTTCTACAAATTGGCTGCTGATGACTACAACAACTTAATTAAAAAAAAACTTAACCAGGACTTATAAAAAAGCTTGCAACAACAACATAAATATGGTTAATAGCATTAACAGAGCTAGTAAAAAAATAACTGATAAATTAAAAATTAGCGATAGAGTAGGTAAACTTGCTGAAAAGGAATGTTACATAACTCTTAAGGACCATAAGCCTGACTTTTTGGAAAACCCTGCAACTAGAATAATTAACCCGACCCGACCCGACATAGGAAAGATCAGCAAAAGGATCTTGGAAAAAATTACCTGCCAAATAAAAAAACAACTGGAATTAAAATTATGGATCAACACTAAAGATGTCATCAATTGGTTTAACTATATTGATGATAAACCGAATTGCACCCTAATACAGTTCGATATCGTGGATTACTACCCATCAATTTCGAAGGATCTATTTACAACTGCCCTGGACTTTGCTGCTGTGTATTCTAACCTGACTAAGGAGGAAACAGATATAATTTTCAGCGCAAAAAAATCGGTCCTCATTCATAATGGGGACCAATGGATAAAAAACAATAACGACCTGTTTGACATCACTATGGGATCATTAGACTCTTCTGACCTTGTTGGTCTTTTAATACTGTACAACTTAACGACACACCGCGAAATTGATATTAACGACATCGGACTGTATAGAGATGACGGGCTCATGGCGGTGAGGAGTTCTACTAGATTTAAGATAGAAAAAAACAGAAAAATTATATTTAGTGAATTTAAAAATCTAAACTTAAAGGTAATTGTCTCTTCTAATTTGAAAAGGGTAAACTTCCTCAACGTAACTCTAGACTTACCAGGCAACACATAGCAACCTTATAGAAAACCAAATGCTAACCCTTTATATATACACCCGAAGTCAAACCACCCTCCATCCATAATTAAACATATACCCTCATCAATAGAAAATAGAATTAGCATTAACTCCGCTAACAAGGAAATATTCCAACAACACAATGGCTTCTATAACACTGCCCTAAAAAATAGTGGTTATAAAAATGCTAACATTAACTATAGAGACAATTGCACTGGCCAAAAGAAAAAAAAAACAGGAAAAGAAAAATCATTTGGTATACCCCTCCGTTCAACCAAATGGTTAGTATTAAACTAGGACAGAAATTCTTAGCTCTAATTGCTAAACACTTCCCCACCAATAGTAAGCTTAGTAATATATTTAACAAGAACACACTAAAATTGAGTTACAGCTGCACCGAAAATCTAGAAGTTTTTATAAAAAAACACAATAATAAAATCTTGAACAAACCCCCATGCCTGAATAGTATTAATAATAACCCTACACTTAAATCAGACAATAACAGAGAAAAATTATGTAATTGTAGAAACCCAGAAGACTGCCCATTAGAAAATAAATGCTGCATCAAATCTGTGGTATACCAATGTACTATATCATCCACTGAGAGTCCTAGTCCTAATATGATATACATTGGGTCCACGAAGAATGATTTTAAAGCTAGATGGAGGCAGCATAAGTGCTCTTTCAACAATATAAATAAAAGAAACCAGACTTCCCTATCTAAATATTTTTGGCATCTGAAGGAAATAAATAGGACACCTAAAGTAAAATGGAAAATTATAAACAGGACTAGAACATGTAAAACTTGGGATGACCCATGCCCTTTGTGCCTCCATGAGAAACTGCACATTATTAAGTTTCTAAATAATAATAATCTATTAAACAACAGACATGAGTTAACGGTTTTCTGTCGTCATCATCAAATCTATGGTTTGAATGATTAGCTAAAAACAAGCATACAATATAATAACTTTTATAATCCATAGCCAAAATAAATAGTTTAAATACCGTACAAAAAGAAAACCCTTTATGAAGTCGTCAAAAAACAAA